TCAGGGAATGATCAATCCCTGCTGGAACTTATTGTTACTACCAAGAAGCGTGAGGTAGATAGTCTTCCCATCTCAGGCCCTGGTGAGGGGTGGCGGGGGTCTTGGAGATACCGTTCTACTCCTTCCGGTGCAGGCCCGCCAGATTCTGGACCAGACACCTGTGAAGGAGCTGGTGAGCCTCAAGTGGAAGAGGTACGGGCGGCCCTACTTCTGCATGCTGGGTGCCATCTACGTGCTGTACATCATCTGCTTTACCATGTGCTGTGTCTACCGCCCCCTCAAGCCCAGGATCACTAACCGCACCAATCCCCGGGACAACACCCTCCTGCAGCAGAAACTCCTTCAGGTGACTCCCTGGTAGTGACAGATAGTACGTTAGGAATCGTCTCTTCACAGTGATGTCCCACTTTCCTGACTCCACACCAGGATTTCACTTCTCACCTAGATCTCTGATAAGTGGGGCACAGATACAACCCGCACACACAGAAACACACATACATTCTTACCCTAGGAGCAGAGTTTGAGACTAGCTGAACCTCATGGTCTAGAAAGAATCTGAAAGAGCAAGTGGCCTTGGGAACTGATATACAGGACAGAGACAGGCAATTTACCAATATCTTTCCTCCCTAGGAGGCCTATGTGACCCCCAAGGATGACCTACGGCTGGTGGGGGAGCTGGTGAGCATCATTGGGGCTGTGATCATCCTGCTGGTGGAGGTAAGGTGTGGATAGGATCCTGGTGGAGGCTGTCTGCCCCAAGGCCCAGCCCGCAGTCTGGTCTTCAAGAGCCGTTATGTCTCCCTGACTTCTTTCCAGATTCCCGACATCTTCAGGTTGGGGGTCACTCGATTCTTTGGGCATACCATCCTTGGGGGGCCATTCCATGTCATCATGTGAGTGTCTTCTTCATCCCACTCCCTTCCTTCATCTCACTAGGGCTTCCACTGGCCTCCTTTCCCTTAGCTCTGAGTTCCCTCTGTGATGTGCAACCCCAGGGTACTGAGTATGTTGAGGCTGAATCTGATGGGATGGGGTCTGTCACAGCTGTACTCTTGTTTATAGGTCCCCAGGATAAAACTGAGGGTTTTTTTTTCTCATTTTCCCCCTTTTTTCCCACTCAGGATCACTTATGCCTTCATGGTGCTGGTGACCATGGTGATGCGGCTCACCAATACAGATGGGGAGGTGGTGCCTATGTCCTTTGCTCTGGTGTTGGGTTGGTGCAATGTTATGTACTTTGCCAGAGGATTCCAAATGCTGGGTCCCTTCACCATCATGATCCAGAAGGTCAGTGCCTCCCCCATGCTTACTAATAAAGATCCCTAGACCAAGGTTAAGCAAACACTTTTCTAGAGGACTGGATAGTACATATTTCAGGTGTTATGAACCCTACATAGTTCTTGTCATATGTTCCTCTAATTTTTTTTTTAATTAAAATCCTCTTACGAGCTTAAAGATCATCCTTAGCTTAATATCCTCACCAAAACAGGGCAAGTAGATTTAGCCAGCATGTTGTAGTTCACCAACTCATCTTGCTGTATGGAGCCATCAGACTTTGGGGATTAGATTTACTGGTGTCAGATTGGTAAGCACTCTGAAAGTGTGGTGTTCTCTGCCTCCTCCTCTCCACAGATGATTTTTGGTGACTTGATGCGATTTTGCTGGCTGATGGCTGTGGTGATCTTGGGATTTGCTTCAGGTAAATCATGGATCCAGGATGGAAGCTGTGGGAGGAAATGGCTGGGGTGGGGGAGTTTAGAGGGTACAGAATTCTTCAGGTGGAACTTGGAGGGAGGCCAGACATTAGAGGAGGCCATGAAATGTCTAAAGATAAGATGTTGCTCAGAAGTGAGTGACAGTAGTGTTAGGGGCAGAAGATTAGGAGCATAAGCCTTGTAGAAAACAGTAGAGCATAATAACTTAAAATGTATCCTTTGTGAGTTGATCAAGGACAACAACAATAGATATGCTAAGGTGGACAGAGGAAAGCCCAGAGGGCCTCAACCCTACACAGAGAACTACAGGCAACTGGGGAATGCTGAGAGGAAGACAGTCTTCCTCAAGGAAGAACATATCAATTTGTTACCCAGCACCTGAAAATATATAACAAGTAACAGGAAATATATTACCAGTTTATGAAAAAGAGGCCATGAATATGATAAAGAGCAAGAAGAGAGGGCTTGGAAGGAGGAAAGAGAACGGGGGAATAATACAATTTTATTATAATCTCAAAGATAAATAATTTAAGATGTATTGTTTTGAGTTGAGACAGCAATATGAGATGAAGGGAATGGGATGGAAACAGATATCAAATAGCTAATGGTGGGCTAATCATGATACAGTTGCCATGGTAACTCTCACCCCTTGGGTGGAGCAGCCTTCTATATCATCTTCCAGACAGAGGACCCTGATGAGCTGGGCCATTTCTATGACTACCCCATGGCACTGTTCAGCACTTTTGAACTCTTCCTCACCATCATCGATGGTCCTGCCAACTATGACGTGGATCTGCCCTTCATGTACAGCATCACCTATGCCGCCTTTGCCATCATCGCCACACTGCTCATGCTCAACCTCCTCATTGCCATGATGGGGGACACTCATTGGAGAGTTGCCCATGAACGGGATGAGCTCTGGAGGGCACAGGTGAGCCCTCTAGTGGCTAGGAGGGTTACTGCATATCTCTCCTTCGTGCTCAGGAACTGGCCATGCTCAGATAGAAGCAGCCATTTGTATTCATGTATATTTGGATAGGTTTTTGCGCAAGTTATAAAATAATGCAACATTCCAGGGGAATTTAATTAGCAACCAAGAGCACTTCTGGAAACTTGGGGAAGAATTCCATGTATTTTCTCAACAATTAAATCCTTGGTCTTTTCTAGAAATAAAATGAACAAATGGCTAAAACTATATTTGGTAAGTTTTGCTCCCAAGTCAGAATGGAAGTATCTAGTCTTCCTGAAAACAGTGAAGCCTGCAAGATTTGACCCAGAAAAATTGGAAGTGTTATAAATAATGACATTAAAAAAAACCCTTTCTTTAGCAGCAGAAGCTATCTTCAGTTGGATCCTATTATGATGGGCATAAAAGACAATGTGATGAATCAAGTCCCCACTTAAAAATATACCTGGAAAAGAATTTATCTCAACAAAAATAATTTAAGTAAAATAAAAAAGGAACTATAAAATCCTAGAAAGCACTTAACTGTGATGTGTGGAAATGGAGTAAAACCTAACCCGGCTAAGAAGGGTTTGCTGGGAGAAATATTTTGAGAGTATGTTGATATCAGGTTTCCAAGCAGAATGTTTATATTTTCAAATCACGTTATGTATGCAGGTTCAAAGCATTCTGAGACCTGTGAAACTCCTCTATGTCTTCCACACTCTTGCCTATACCTTTGGTCAAGGTCTCTCTTGAGGGGAAACTCTTGCAGGCCACCCACACCTCACCTGGCTTTGTCATGGCTTTCAAGTCATAGGATAAAGAATTGTGAGGTTCAAGTCTCATCCACTCTCTCACACAGAAGGGGCTCTACTAAGTTCTTGCCACATCTTGGTTTGGGTTCTATTTTAGAGCGTCATAACCCCCAGAGTTTGTTACTAAATTGTCTTCCTTCTGCCTGGTCTCCTTTCTTCTCCCTTCCCTTCTCAGCTGTACCCGACCTCTCTGACTTCCCTTTCTGTCCCGAAATACAGGTTGTAGCCACCACTGTGATGCTGGAGCGGAAGCTGCCTCGCTGCCTGTGGCCTCGCTCTGGGATCTGTGGGCGCGATTATGGACTTGGGGACCGCTGGTTCCTGCGGTAAGTGATGTGGTCCATTAGTGGCATTCCCTCCGCAGTCACTTTGCATGGTGTCTTCTTGTTTCTAGAAGCTATACGGAGGTCTGTATGCTTCCTAGACCGCATGCTTAATTGTCGCAAGTGTGGCTACTGAGGACGGGACTCCATTTTGAGCTTGGGCTCCTAAGATTCCTCAGAGCCTACCGCTTCCTGAGGGCTAGTGGCTGAGGGGCTGGTGCTCCGTGTCCACAACGTGGCTGCACAGAACCTCCAACAATGGCGGGGCTGAATGAGAAGTTTTGATCTTAGGTCTTCTTTTCTGCTCCACGTCTCTGAATCCCTCCTCCCACCCCCTCCAGGGTGGAAGATAGGCAAGATCTCAACAAGCAACGCATCCGCCGCTATGCACGGGCCTTCCAGCAACACGACCGCCTCTGCTCAGAGGACTTGGAAAAAGACTCAGGAGAAAAACTGGAGATGGCACGTTCCTTTGGTGCCTACCTGACCTTTCCCACACCCTCAGTGTCTCGAAGCACCTCCCAGAGCAGCATCAACTGGGAAAGGCTTCGACGGGGAACTCTAAGGAGGGACCTTCGAGGGATAGTCAACCGGGGCCTAGAAGATGGGGAGGGCTGGGAGTACCAGATCTGAAGGTTGGCTCTCACCAAGCGTCAAAACAGGATGAAAAAAAACCAGCTGGAAAGTAGAAGTCATCCCCCAAGTTCAAGGCGGTAGGGGGAGGACCATGCTAAGGAATGCACACTGGGAATAAATGTTCCAGGTCTCCACAACTCCTTCAGCTTGGGGCAAAGGGAAGAAGACTCTCTGGTCCTTGCCTTAACCCAGCATTCCTTGTTCTCTCATGGAAGCTCCACTGCACACCAGAGCACTTCAAAGACAGGTTTGCCATCTGGGGCACCTGTCTCCACCCAGGTCTTATAAGTGGGAGGGGACAAAGCTCTTCCCAGAGTGCTCCAGACAACTGATGGAGAAGACTGAGCTTCTGGGAAGGTGTGTGATGGAGAGATACAGGCACCAGTCGTGGGGTGGGGAAGCTGGGATAAGCCTTGCCACCTTCCAATAAAGTCGTTTCCTGATCCCCACCCAGCTCCCTTTATGTTTCAGTGAACTTAACCACCGGCCCACCCTGTCATGCAGCTCTGCCCCTCCCCAAGGCCTCCCTAGCCCTTCCTTGCAGACTGAGGCGTGGACACACCTAAACTTGTAAATTCCCTTCTTTCCCTTTAATATGGGGGAGGCTGTTGGAAGGGCAGGATTTGGGGATGCAGTGTCCAGTGGGCTGGGTTTAATGCGGCAGGCATGGAGGCCAGAAGAAAGCCTGGCTCAGTCTCACATGTACTTCCTCCACCCTATGTCCAGGACTGGGTTGGGGCTTCAGCGGCTCACAGATTCCTGACCAGGCTTTACACCTCCACTGAGCCTGGCCGCCTCAGGTGCTGCTGGAGGAGCTGGATGTTGTGCAGTAGTTTCTTCTGGTGGCCAGCCAGGGTGATGCCCAGACCTGGCAGGTCTCTGTTGGGGAAGGAGTGGATCAAACTTGGGCTTGGGTCAGGTCCTTCAATATCCCAGAGGTACCCCCTTGCCTGAAGCTCAGAGTGTCTTCCCTCCCATCTCATCAGCCCCGCTTACTCTAGGCTGAGCTGAGCCACATCACTGAAGGTGGAAAGGCCGAACTTGGAGAAGTTGTCCTTGTAACACTCTAGTCCAATGGCTGAGAGCCAGGCCTGGGGAGAGTCCAGGCAAGGAAAGGCCAAGGCCACAGGGTTCAGGAGAGCCTGGGAAGGCCTAAGGTGGGGAGGGGCAAGCAAAACAGGTTTCCTCTTCATCTTACTCTCTCTGCTCCATTTTCCTTTTGGTTTACATTTACCCTCCCTGGCTTTCCCAGGCTCCAGCCCCAAGCTTCAGACCTGTCCCCGGAGCCCCCTTCAGCCTGTAGGGTGTCTGGCTTTCGGATCATCTTGTCAAATGCAGCCACAAGCTGGTCAAAGTGAGGCCGGCGGGCACGGTCCTTCTGCCAAGTGTCTAACATCAGCAGATGTAGTCCAGTGGGGCACCCTGGAGGTGGAGGCAGGCGGAACTCTTGCTCTATTGCATTTAGTACCTGCAGGTCAAGAGGAGCATGTGACGAGAAGCTATTTCCAGTAGGGGTGTTAGAAAAGCCGGGGTGGGGGCGGGCTGAATTCAGGTGCAGCCGAGATGGGAAGGGAACCTTAAAATTTGCAATGTTCTAGCTACAAGAAATTCGAACAGGAACGGCTCAGAAAAGGATGGGTTTAGGATATAAGACCACAGGTGGGATCACAGTGGAAAATCAGCGGACATCTAGGTCAAGCTCACCTCCTGCTCACTCATGTCCCAGTAGGGCCGTTCTCCGTAGCTCATCACTTCCCACATAAGTATTCCAAAGCTCCAGACATCGCTGGATGTTGTGTACTTCCCATGTGTAATGACCTCTGGGGCTGCCCAGCGAAGCAAGGAGCTCGAACCCTGACGGGGGAGAGCCAGAGGTAAAATAGTAATAACCATAGTAAGAATCACATTCACTGGGCAACTTAGATGCTTAGATATCTCTGGAGTCTCACATCCAGCATCTCGTTCTATCCCCTTGACCATTCTGAGGAGTAGCTATAAGACGTGGGATCGAAGCTTCAAGACTATGAAGCTGCACAAGGTCATGGGGCTTGAGAGTGGAGCATTCGGGATTTTAATACCACTGTGCTGACTCTTCAGCCTATGTGACCTCTGTACTGATGGCTAGTAGGAGCTGGTCCTAGTTTCACAGTTCTCTTGTTTTCCTGTGTCCCCCTTTCCCCTTGGTTCCTTAAGTCCCTCAACTGCTCTAAGCCCAGGCTTCCCTCCCCTCAGCATACGATGGAGTTTCTAAAGTCCCAGGCACCATGATATCCCACTAGCTGTACCCACCCCATGTCCTAGCTTTCCTTCCAGCATGCTCAAGAGCAGTGACCCTCCAAGGCCCTGAACTCACCTGAGGACTGTGGCCAAGTCGGGCCACCTTGCACACCAGGTGGCTGTTCACCAGCACACTTCGGGCAGAGAGTGCTCGATGCACAAAGGCAAAGCTGGACAGGTACTGCATGGCAGCAGCCACACCCCGCTGCATGGCCACCAGCTGCAGGCTACTGAACTGACCCTCCCGCTGCTGAAGAGCAGAGGGTAGAGGTCATCAACAGGGTAGACACACTGCAAAACATACATCAGCGCAAGGGGGCACTTGGGAGCAAACTTGGGAATCAAAACGGCCTGGGAATGAAGGAGGGTGGGATGGCAAGGAGCAAAGGCACAAGGCTCTGCCTTCTGGAAAATGTGGGAGTTCCAGGCTTTCCTCAACCCAAGACCCGCCTCCTTCACCAGAGCAGAACTGACCCTAAGGAAGCTGTCCAGGGGACCGAGCTCCATGAGTTCCGTCAGCACCATGACAGGCCGGCTCTTGGTGACTACACCTTCCAGCCGTAGGATATTGGGGTGCTGGAACTGGCCCAGCAGTGCTGCTCGGCCTAGAAAGGTCATCTTCAGGCTCTCAGCACCTCCTGCCCACAGGGCCTGGATAGCCACAGCCTGTTCCCCCCGCCTTCCCCTGGGTTGTAATCGGCCCCGACGCACTTCTCCAAAGGAACCTGGAAGAATAGATACCGGTATGGATAGAAGTCATGAAGTGTTCAGCTGTGCTTAGAAGGCATCACCAGGCCCTCCCAGGCATCCCTTGCCCCTCAAATACCTGCCCCAATGACTTCCTCAATCTTGATATATGTAGGATCAACTTCCCGAGCAAGCTCTCTGATAGCCTGGCAGGGGTCCTCATATGTGGAAGGGTCAATGTAATACTTCACTCCAAGCCCTGAAGAGTATAGTGTATTATGAGGGTGTGCTGTAAGCATGAACACCCAAATACCCAAGACAGGACACACCCTTCTACTTCTGGAAGATGGTGAGGAAGAGCCCCTTCCTCACCAGGCATGTGCCTCGAGCCAAGCCTGCAACCCCAGTCACAATCCCTCTCCCTGTCCCTACCTGGGCTGCTGTACTGCTGCAGCTGTTCTGTGTAGCCAGTCCCACGCCGTTTCCTGAGAGGCAAACCAATGGCCTATAATGGCACCTGTTTCTCTCGGCTTGTGTCTGCCCCAATCACCCTGGCCCAGCAGACAACTTGGCAGCCCATGGGTCTGAGGACTGAGGGGACTCTACCAGGACCCTCCTTCCCACCTTAGCAATGAATATGTGAAATGCTGCAGGGGTTCCTGGGGTGGTCAGGACTTGAGTGGTACTGGGGCAGGTGGGTAGGAGTGGCAGGGGCCTCACCGCTGGAAGATGACAGCCAGTACAGTGATGGCTGCCAGTAGAAGGAAGGCCAAGGCCCCCAGGATGGACCCAATCACCAAGGACAGCTTCTCTGGAAGCTGGGAGGGCAGCTCACCTGAGGGATCAGTGGCAGAGTCACAGGGAGGAGCCAGGCTTTCTTTGTGTCTACATGCCTCCGACGCCCCTGGACATCCACAGCACCTCATGCACACGCCTCACAGGTACACTCATCCACTTGAACATACTTCCAATCCTCCATAGTCAAGAACTGCCCACACAGGTCCACACTACATGCATTCATACCTGCAAACTCACTCATATGAACTCACTACCTCCCACTTTACCCACACAGCCTCTAAAGTCAGGGGTCACCCACAGCTTCCTCCTTTCCCAGAGACTGGTCTGGAGGATGATAGGTCAAGATTTGTGACTTAGACAGTCTTGGGACCCAAATGCCCATTTAGACTTCCTCTCACCTTGAGGCAGGGTCTGGAAATAGACTTTGCCCCCATAGGGGCCATGGCCGGCTGCAGTCCGTGCCCGCACCTGGAAGCCATAGATGTGGCCAGGGCTCAACCGTGTCACAGTGGCAGTGTTAGTCTCACTGGTCATGGTGAAGGAGTGGGATTCGTCTTCTGCCTAGGGACAACGATCACTCACTCACTTTGTTCCTGCTTTGATCCCCCATCTTCCTCTGTGATACACCTGGTGCCGTGGGCTCTTGACATCTCTCGCCCCACTCTATAGCAATGCCCTTTTAGGGTTGGGGTTGTGGTGGCTGAGAGCTCTCATGAGCTCTGCCGAAGCGCCCGACTCCCTGCCCACCTGGTCATAGTATCGCAGCTGGTAGTCGAGGATGTTCCCATTTGTTTGCTCAGGCTGTGGCCAGGACACTGTGATGCTGTTGGCTGCCCGGCTCACCTGGTGCATCACAGGAACTGCAGAAGGGACTGAAGCGCAGAGTGGAGAGTTATTTTTCGGGGGGGTAGGGGGCGGGGCGGGGGACGACTGGAGTCTCTGGGAGCAGCAGCACCCAAGGGTGGAGAGGATAGACTTGAGAACGCGATGTCTAATGCAGGCTGGCTGGAAAGCAGGTATGGGGAAGAGGGGATCTGAGGAGCTGAAGCAGGCTGTCTTTAAGAAGGAAAAGGGCTCACCTTCATGGCTGGTGCTGACATTGATGGCTGCTGCCTGGGGAGGGTCGGGGCTCAGCTCAGACACCCCATTGACAGCCTGCACTTCCAAGATGTATGGCACATGTGCTCGAAGCCCCCCAACTAACACTCGGCTCTCTGTCAGGCCCCTCTGGCGGGGGTCGAAATGCACCTCATCCCTGCAGCGGCGACAGGTCCCCCCACTGCTGGGCTCCCGGTGGCCTCCACACTCTTTGCACACAACATTGAAGAGCAGGTCCCCTCTTCCGCCTAGCTCGTGAGGCAAGCGCCAGTGCAGCATGAGGGCTGAGCCTTGCACCTCAAACCAAAGCTCCCTGGGAGCAGACGGAGGGCCTGGAAGCGGTGTAGTGGGGTGGGGATGGTTGTGAGGTAAAGGTGATTAGGGGAGGAAGGAGGCCAGCGGGTGTGGCCAAGAGGGCAGAAAGTAGAGGCAGAAAGGAGGGTGGGGAAAGAGGGAAGTGTAGGTCATGAGGAGAGGAGACAAAAACAAAAACAAAAACAAAAAACAAACAAACAAAACAATAACAACAAAAAAACCGAAAATGCAAAGTCATTCCAAGTGAACTCCAAAGCCCTCTCATCACCATGGTTAAATTAGGTCCCCCACATCCTCACCCATTCCCGGATTTACTGTGTTGAGCTGGGCTCAGGACTCACCAGTGCATGGAGCCTCTGGGGGGTCGGAACTGGCCCTGTAGAAGCCCTGGAGACAAGGGCATACCGGGGCTGCAGGGTCAGGGGAGTGGCTACGAGCCGGACATGCTGAGCAGGGGACATTCCCAGCCATGGCCTTATAGGACCCTTCGGGGCAGGCTAAGCAGGCAAAGGAGAGAAGGCGGTGTCATGTTTACTTTATCCACCCACCCTGAGTTTCAAGTCATCTGTACAAAGTGTCCTCTGCTCCCCAGAGCTGGTTCTTGGTCCTGAGACCCATTCTCCACCTGCTCTTCCCTGGTGCACAGATCTATTCAGTCAGGGGACAGAAATCATTCCCCTTATGAATAGTTCGGTGTGCTGGGAGCTGGGGCAGTGCAAGCCCAGAAGTAGGTGTTCCTGGCGAGGACACAGAAACTCCCTGTAATCAGTCTTTTTAGCCTATCCACTATTACTGCCTACTTGCCTTTCAGCTACGGGCTCTGCAATGAACCCTCCCCAGTCAGGTGGCTTATGAGCACAGAGGAGCCCACACAGGGTAACCCAAAGAACGGAGGAACTTTTGCTCTGTGTCCCTTCTTGGGCCCATGGCCTTAGGGTACAAAACATCGGAATATGGAAAACCATAGCCATTTCTAGACATTACAGATGAGTTCAATGAGCAAGTCTGTATACTTCAGAAAGTAAAATTGGGAAAAATAGGTTCTTTCCTGAGGTAGCTTCTTTGAGGTATTTTGTGGACAAAGCCAAATTTGGAGTGTCCAGGAGAGAAATCCAAGGCCAAGGGGGTGCAGGAAAGGCTCTCACCTTGGCAGAGCTTGTCTCCACGAGCAGGCTGGTGACCAGGCTGGCAGCGGCAGCCTCCCACAGCTACCATCCACCTGCCTTCCCCATTGCAGTGTAACCGTGGGGGGCTGCCCCCTGCCTGGCCTCCAACTCCATCCTCCTCTGGTTCTGAATGAGCAACACAGGTCCCCAAGGCTGCCACCAGGGAGGCGCCTCCAGCTCCACTGGCCTGCGTCTCAGGAAAGGAGGCAAAGGCCCGCAGGACAGAGGGACAGGTGTAGGAGAAGAGCTTGACTGCCACAAGGGCCAGGCAGGCCCCTGTGTCCTGGAAGGCCACATAGAAGCCGCGCTGAGTGAGAGGACCAAAGCTGCGTTCTTTGACATTTAGCTGCAGCCCCACCCGCTGACCAGTCCTGTGGGGTCCCACGGCCCATGAGGAAGAGGAGGAGGAGGAGGAGGCGGCAGGGAAGCTCTCATCTGCTGCAATTGTGTCCACTTTGGTCCAGCGTTTGAGGTGCCAGGTTGAAACGCTGTCGGGGCCGTCAGGCTCCTCAGCCTGCCGGTAGTAAAGGGTGAAGGTCTCCCGGCAGGTACCCCCACTGACACCCAGGCTGGAACATGCTCGTACAGAGAAGTGAAGGCGGATGTGTGCCCTCTGGGCCCCTCGCCGCTCCACAAAGTGTGTCTGCAGCCAATTGTCCTGTCCAGCACTTGGAGCGACCCCTGCCACGTGGCATGCTTCGAAGGTCCGAGTCAGACGGCGCTGGTCATCTAGAACACTCACCTCGTCCCACTGCAAGGGGACCAGGGAAAAGAACTGCTCAGTTTGCAAAGGGAAACAGCGGGACACTGTGGGGTTGTATCTGTTCTACTGAGATACTGCATTAATGACAAGCAAAGCAGAGAGAGGGTACACTGAAATTCTGTTCCCCACAATGGATGGGAGTCTTAGCTCAGCTTTGATCCAGGATGTCCTCCCTCAATTCCACTTTCTAGGGAACAATCTGGGCCAGAGGATGGGTTCAGAATGAAGAGTGGCACTCACCCCACCTGGTGGGTAGGTGAGCCAGCCAATCTCAGAGGTCTCTCCTGTGGTATCCAGCAGTACTTCTGTTCAGACATAATGGGGCACATTGTGTAAAGCCTCCAGCTGGCAAAGCTACTCCCACTCCATTCCATGGAAAACCAAATACTATCCCTCCCGGATCCATTTAATTTGCCAGCAGGAGCTTAGTATCCATGAGGATCCGAAGTCTAAAATACTTGATACAAGTTCTGTTCACCCTCCTTACACGCTTCCTTAACATCATCACTCTTTATCTCCACCCCCTCCCACTCGACTCCACTGGCTGGGTGGGACTCTTCCGCTTCCTCTCCTTCCTACCTTCCAGAGCCAGAACCGAGGGCCCCAGAACCAGGACCCACAGACTGCACACCATGCCCGCCACTCTGCTCCCTGACCCAGCAGTGTCCTCAGTAGCCATGAGGTATCTTCAGAACCCCCACCATTGCCTCGGCTGCCACCCTGCTCTGAGGCGGGGCTGCAGCTTTCGCAAGACTCGGGGTCTGCAGCCAAGTTTGCTTCCTAGGGAGAATATGGGATAAAAAAAAAAAAAAGAAACAGAGAGGAGAAGTCATATTGATACATTGTATAGGTGCCCAGACTTCATATAGTGCCTGCTCTACAGCCCTCAAACTGTCCCTGAACCAACCATGGGCAGAAGTCAGGAAGCACTGACTCATCTGAGTCTGCTAGGCACATTCCACTTTGCTGGAGAGACACCTGTCAAACCCCTCACCTCTACTCTTTATGTGACCATGTCTCAAGGCCCCAATTCTTCGAGAGGATGCACAGCAGAGTGCTCGCCTAGTCTTACCCTTTTGGTCTGGAAGGACTTATTCCAGTTTGTTCTCTTCATTTACTCTGCACCTTTCCTCCAGCAGCCAACCTGTATGGTAGTTGAAAGTCTCTGGTCACTAACAGCAGGCGGATAAGAAGCAGTCCATCCGAATGGACACGCGGGTTCTCACGAGGCCCCAGCAATCCTGCCCTGAATACTCTCTGTTGTTTCACGGGGACAGTGAAGCAAAAGGGACAAAGAAAGATGGCTGTGGGGTATGAAGGGAGGGGAGGTGGATGAACAGATGCAAAAAGAACGCAGGCATAAGGACTCTGGAAGATAAATGAGGCTGTGTTAGGAGAGGACAGAGCTATGTGGGTCTGGCACTCATTCTGAACAAAGGTTCTCTTCCCCACGGGGCATGTTTTCCCTCGTGGCTTACAGAAAACTAAGCATACACCGTAAACCTACAAAAGGATGCTTATTTGCTCATAATTGGAGGAAGGCAGGTTGAAACAACAGCGACATGCTATTTGTTACAGAAGGGATGTGTGTGCCTTTACCATGACTGCATATGTTACAATCCTATTCCCCAGCGGGATGGTTTTAAGAGCTGGAGCCTTCGGGAGGTAATTCTGCACGGAGGATTTATAGGAATGGATTAGTATTCTCAGAAGAGCCCCCCCACACACACAAAGGACTCTCTAGCCTTCTCTCCACGTTGCGAAGTGGCAATGAATGGAGGGCAGTCTGAAACAAAGAAGGTGGTCCTCACCACAGTCCAGCCACGCTGGTACCCTGATCTCTGAACATCCTCTGAATGGTGAGGAATACACTTCTGTTGTTTATTAACTGTCATTGCCCAACGGATGGACCTTTACGGTTGTAGGCTGAAATGAATAAAATACCACTTTAACCTGTGAGACTGACAACACAAAGTCAGACAAGACATGGTAAGGGTCTCTTCTCTATATTGTGCTGGTGAATTCATATTGTATATGGCATGTGGGAAATAACTGGCAATATCTGTCTGGTAACTTGACATCTAGAAGTCCTTCGGGTATCACGAACTTGCATGTACTTGTTTAAACCAGGGTATTAATGAGATTGGGGGTGGGTCGATGCTGGGGACTGAATCCAGCTCTATCTACCAAGCCTTGTCCTTAGCCACTGTGAGTTGTTCGTAAGGGAAAAGACTGTAAAGTGGCTAAACATCAGTAGAAGGATGGTTGAGAAATTATGGCCCATCCTAAGCAACAAACACGAGCTGTTTATGTAATAGTATGGAAATGATGTCCAGGTGAAAGCAGTATGTGCAGAACAGTCTAGAGTAAGCTCCCACTTGTTAACTTGAGGAGAATAGATATTGGGCTGGGTATTTAGCTCAGTGGTAGAGCATTTGCCTAGCATATGTGAGGCTCTGGGTTCAATCACGGCACCAGAAATAAAAAACAAATAAATACATATCCATGTAGAAAAATATTATGGAATGATACATAAAATTTGGGAAGAAAGGAAACGAAAGAAACAGGGGAGATAATTTCATTGTCTTCTTCTTAATTTTTATAGTAAAATAGTCTTTCATAAGTATTGATGATCTTTTGAACTTAATGATGACTCAAGATTTATTTTTAAAGCTGTAGTTAATACCTGTTTAGTAAAATGAATCAAGATAGTGCTTATGCCCTCTGAGTGATATCTAGGCTCTACCTAATATCCACCCGCTACAGGAAGGTTCTGTAGCCATGACTAGGTACAGTTCTATGCCAAACAGCCTGCCAAGACATGGCTGCTTCCTGGACAATGGCGAAGACCAGTTCCACTACTGGTGGTACTCTTGTCTTCCTCAGTAACCTGGTCTCCAAAGTTCAGGTGGCACATGAACAAGAATAGCGGGATTCATTCGTTTCCGGTGAGGAGAAAAAGGAAAGGCACGTTGCTCACAATACTGAGAGAAATTAGAGGGAAGCAAGCAAGCAAAACAAACAGCAAAGCCCAAAGCCAACTGGAAGGGCGGCCTCACCCTGGGTGCATGTGGCCTGGTGATCCAATGATAGCAAAGGACACATTTCCAGTGAAGCTGGAGTTAGACCGAAACTGTACTTGACTGTGGTCAACAGGAAGGCTATTATTTAATTCCTGCTCATCTGAGATTCTTTTCCGGCAAAGGTGTTATGTGTGTGATAAGAAAAAGCTTTTAGTGCCATCCCATGAAGCCATCCTAGAGGGACACCTTTTGTACACACCTGAGGGCTGAGTAGTAATCAAGTAGCCAGTGAATTCTTCCCCTCATTACCAATGGTGCCCTGTGTGTGTGACATAGACAACTCACGGGCCTATAGAGAGAGGCAATCATTAAACAGTTCCACGTAGGAAGAAAGTTTGTAAGAAGCACAGATTCTCTGAGAACACTGTTCTAAGTGTTTTAGACACTCTCTCATGGATCAAGTAAATGCTCTAGAGAAGAACTTCAGAGCTTATGTAGCTGTCTTAATTTTTGTAATGCTGGCTCCAGCATCAATATCTGTTTCGTGAATACCATGAAGTAATACACATTGGAGGTGTAATCCCCCAAATCTCAGGGCTTGTCAAAAGAACCCAGGTTCTATCCACAGCCACAGTGTTTGGGTACATTTTTATCAAGGTCAGATGATGCCAGAGGCAGGCTTTTAAACAGTGAAGGCTACTTTACTATATATATGCCTAGAAGATACTCCTCAAAATTGTCTCTTTCAGGCAGAACATGAGTGGGTTCTGATTCTATACAGTGAAGAAACAGTGAAGACTGAGACTTTTTACACTCACAACTGGACAATTATGGAGAAGGAATAATTAATATTTTGTTAACAGTGTTAATAGAACTTTTTGTTTGGAAGAGAAAAGCGAGACAGAAAAAAAATAACAGAAAGCATCAGTTGTGCAATATGGAACATTCTAGAAGATGAAGAATGATAAAATAATTGCTTGGATAAGGTATACTAGTGTAGCGCCTTAGCATGCATCTTGATGACAACCTGAAGCTGGCCTATCTCCAGATGATCCAGAAAACAGCAAGAGCGATGATGAAATATATTAAAGCCATTCCACTCCTGTCATCGAGAATAAAATGCAAACACCAAATGGAGACTGTTATTTGAGTACTTGCTTTTTTGTCTTTTTTCTTTTTATTTGACTATGAGCAAAGACATTCACTTTTTAAAAAATGTTTGACGATCTTAAAGTATTCAGCAGTATATTTTGATGCTGGAAGTGAATCTTCAGATTCAGACCCAGAATACTGATGATTAAAAACAAATGTATTGGGGGGTGAGGGGAGGTGGGGGGTGGGGGAAATGTTGCTGAGTCAGAGTAGGAAGTTAGATCAGTTCTTGCTAATCCAAACAACCAAGTCTCCTATTTATACATAAAAAGATTCACAGTGTCTCTCCATCACCAGAATGAAAACAAAGCATGGGGAAACCTTGAGGTAGGGAGTAATAGCTGTCAACTATGTCATACCATTGCAGATTCTTCTGAAGCAAGTTCCAAAGGTAGAAAAACAAGAGACAAGACAGGAGTGCTCCTCATGTCTGGAATACTAAGGAGGCAGGGCTTAACACTCGACTTTCAAAGGTTGCTTTGCAGCTTGAAGCCACCACGTCCCTCTCATTTGGTACAGGAGGGCATCTTGGGCACAGCCAGCATCCTGTAGCCAAAGCCTCCGTTAGTCCCTCTCTCCCAGCCTGTCTGAGATCCCTCTTTCTGCTGCAACTCAAGAAATGAACTGGCCAGGGTTTGGAAGTCCTCAGGCTTCAGCAAGGACAAGACACTGATCTCAATCAAGAAAACATTCATATTTCAGATGTATGTGAAGTTTTAAAAATATAAAATACCTGAAGAAGCAGAAATGTGGCTCAGAAAAACATCAACAGGACAGCTTTATGTGACACAAATCACATTCTATGATTTTGCATTTTTCTATTCCTGAACCCCTTTTCGGGGTCTATCGTTTTCCTTCTTTTTGATTTTTTTGTAAAATAAAGCAAATATATCAGCTAGATCACAAGCCTAATACACTTGCTTTATTTTACAAAAAATAAGGCAGGGTCTTAGGCATCGAGGATGTATCTGCTTTTAGAAACTGGCAAAATCCAGAGATGTGTAGGGTTTCAGCTCATCAGATATAGATTGTGAATTCTGTTTTCTATGAGAACGAAAGATTGGAAAGTAAATTAAATCAGCAAATCTGTAAGAGCTTTAAAAATTAACTACGCTTAAATGACATGCTAAGTTTGATAGCTTCATGAACAAACCCAGCTTATTTGGTAGTTTATGCACCTCACTCTGAACTAAAAAATAAATAAATAAGACAAGTCAGTTTAAAGCAAGGTATGACAGAGATATAGAGACCATTAAAACTTGCTACTGTAAGAGGGTGCTAGGGATGGAGGATGCGAAGTGGGGATAATTAACTCTTACACATGCTTGAATTGTTTTGTTCTTATTATAATATGCACACCTTACTTTCATCGTTAAAACCTAAACAAAGCTAGGATGTATGAAAGGATACTTTTGAAACTGGACACATAGAGCATATGTTTACATGTTTAATTCCTCTTCCCTTCTTTACCTGTCAGTTTTCAGAACATCTAGGAACTTTCAGCTCTAAGACACAAGAGGCAAAGCTGGCAGCGAAGGAGCAGAAGGATGTCAGCCACAAAGGAAAAGTAACTTTTATTCTTGGGCGTTCTGTAAGCTTCTCTCCCAAGAAGTTCAAGTTGTTGTCATGCTTCTCTGTCACCATGCTGGGCTAAGGACTGTGTCTACCAAGGGAAAGAAGGGGGACAGAGGGCACTGGATACTTGCAACATGTCAGGAGGGCCTCCCTGGCAATAGAGGGAGGCTTGTGAGAGAGATTTTCATGAGGTATGGTCGGCTGCTATCCAGCAGGGATGGGGAGCATTCCCAGAGCCAAGGGCCAGTGGTTTTAGGTCTCCTGTGGTTGCTGAGCTGGTTTTCACACCTGTTAGCTGCAGGGTCAGCGTAGGAGGGGTCAGCACCATAGGCTGGTCCTCTGTCCTGTTCTGCAGCTGTTAAACGCCCAGGAAATTCCAATATAATCCTTGCTCAGCTTACTGCTGCCGTCTCTACCCTTTAATCTGCACCCTGGAGATCCTCTGGTGAGCTCTCTCCGTGCTCTGGCCTTGTGCCTTGAAAAGGATCCATGAGGTTGCAAGGCAGCCTCCAGGACATACAGGGAGGAGATGGCTGTCCTCTGGCTCTGGCTCTGGCTCTTCTGATGGCCAGGCTGGAGAAGCCAATTTGTGGATTGTCTAGCTGAGGACAGTTCTATGTCCCTGGAGATCTCCAGCCTCCAAGAATGTCCCCCAGAAGCATGCTCGCTCAAGCACTTGTGCCTCCCACTCCCAGTCTTTGCAGACAGGAGAGGCATTTAAGATGCAAGCAATGTCTAGGTCTAGCCAGACAGCCATTGAGAATGAAGCACTCTGGCTGTTCACTGACTGGGGTCATGATGGTGCTGGGAAAGCGTATAATGGATGGTTTGGGGGCAAATATGGGTGAGCGAGAGCAATGAATCCTGAAAGGTAATGGGAGAAAGCCCCGAGGGTCAGGAGCTGTATCAGCGGGTGACTGATGGTTGAGATGGGGTAGGCAGCAGCGAAGGGCTGGGGAGTGAGTGGCGGAGGTCTTATGAATTGCTGTCCTTGTTGTGGGCCCTGCTCCATCCTCACTGCTCTCCAGGAAGATGATTCTGCAGAAGTGCCCAGGTGAGCATGGGGTAGAGAAAGGGGAACCAAGGCTTTCAGCACCCTCAGATGCTACCACAGTCCTCCCACCTGCAGTGAGGCATGGGAGGGTGACAGGAAACCTTATGGCCAGGTTCAGGAGATGGTGAAGAGCTGGCCCAGAAGAAAATGCTGCCTTTCCCATGCTCAGCCATCCAAGCCTGTTATTGAAAGCATTCTGATAACTCCATGGACTTTACCAATCATCTGCTTGTATGATGAACGGACCAATAGACTTGAAAGGAATTTTCTATATGTCATTAGGTATGTACACTGGGGCTTTCATGGCAATCCTCCTCCAGGACAAAAAGACCCATAGCTCTCAAAAGTCCGTAGCTGCTATGAGCAAAGTTCAGTCCCTCAATGTCCTATTACTGGGTCAGCCTCCAAGGACTGTCCACAACCTTACCAGTCACTCCCACTGGTCTGGCAGTTGAGAAGCATCATCTCCCCTTTCAGAACCACCTAAGTCAAATTCCCCTGATGGGTGGAGGGCCTGGGTTAACTGATTGGGAACAGGCTGGGCAGCTCTTCTACATGGGCACTGCCAGGGACATTACAACATCAGCTATGCTGGTCCCCTGCCAGCTCCCCCAGGGATGGGAGGAGAGAGGGTGCCAGACGGCCAAGATCAGTGGGCAGGGGCAGAGGCAGGCTGGGCCAAGCACCCAGATGCATAGAGGGGGTGGAGCTGGGGCAGGAGCAGGCAGGAGACTTCGTGTGCAACTGGAGGGGGGGGGGGGAGTGCTTATGATTGGGGCTCAAAATCCAAGCCTCTAACTCCAGGATTAAGTGCGGGGGTGGGGGTGGGGGGAGGTAGTGGTGAAGATGTAGATTGGCCCCCCTGGCTCCTCCCAGCAGCAAGGAGATTGGAGAGATGCCACAGGAGTCAGAGGCATGGGCAAATCTTTTCTGAACGAGGGGAGCCTGACCTTTGCGAGGTTAGCCCTCACACAACCCCTCCCCAAGCCAGAGGCAGAGGAGGGGTCGCTGGATGATGAAAGAATTCTAACACCCAGGATAGTGGACATGAATGAAGGCTAGGGCAGGGACAGTTCCTCAGGAACCTTCTCTTGTTTTGGAGAGGTATCCTCAGTACTCCCCCAAGAGACTCCCCACCACCCCGGGTGTGCACAGGCCCAGGCTAGAGCAATCCTCTACTTTGCAAACCTTAATCCCTTAGTCTCCAGACACAGTATCCTTTGACCTCCCAAATCCCTAGCTCACCTTCCTGCCGGCCTCCAGCTCTGCAGTCTGCGCCCCTGAGGCCCCCGTGGTGGCCCTGCAGCTAGCAGATCTCTCCCAGCGTCGTGCGTGTCCTCTCAGGTCTGGGGACCTCGTTTCCCCGCGGCCCGCGTCTGCTTGTAGCTTGGAGTCTGGGATTCTGGGGAGGACCCGAGGCTGCAGGCAGGGGCTGCTCCCGAGGCGGAGCCCCGAAGAATCGTGCCGGGGCCAGTGTCACGGAGTCGCCGAGCTCTGGTCTGGGGTTCAGACGCCCGCTGCTCCCGAGTGCCGGCTAGGCGAACGCAGCGGGGCCCGCCCCCTCTCGTCCCTCCCAGCCTGGCCCGCCCCTCTCCGGCCCCTTCAGCCACCCTCTCTCTCTCCTCTTCCGGGAGCCGAGCCCGCCCTCTGGGCCTAGGACCCGAGTACGCAGCGCCCGCTCCCCAGTGGGGCGCGCAGTGGAGACGCTAGGCGCGCCCTGAGCCCGCCTGTGTGCTGGGGAGGGTCGGCCTCCTCCCACAGGTCCTGGCCGGCGGAGGAGACGTGGGTCGGAGGATGGCACGCATTAGGGTCCGGGAGGAGGCGGTCAGTGGGCGCCGCTGCGAGGCGTGCTTAAAACCCTGATGCTCGCACTCGAGCATCAGCGGAGCAAAGCGCTACTGGCTGGCGGCTGATGGCCAGGGCCGGGCACAAGCCCAAGCGCAGCGCCCCTGGCTCCTCCTTCCCTCTTCTTTAACTCTAGGAACTAAACCGGTGGGGCTCCTACTCAGGGTTGAACCGAGGTGGGCGTGAGCAGAGAAACGAGAAACGGAGGAGGTGGAAGGAGAAACAAATCTCGGGGGCACGGGAGGGCAGGACAGCCAGAGAGAGTGCGGGCGTCTGGGGAGGAAAACGTCCCCGTGCTAGCGTCAAACTTGTTGTCTCTTTCTGTGCCTGAATCTGGGTCAGCGTTGGGGCCTCGGACTAGAACCTCCCTCGCTCCCTTCACCCTCCTCATAGTCAGGGAAGCCTGGGGCGGAGTCCGCGAAGTCTGATGTCTTTGCCTGGCTCAGACATGGCTTGGACAAGTCGCTGCACCTCTGGGTGCCACCTCCTTGGCGCGCGCTCCGCAGAGAACCTCCCCACAGCGGTGAGAGGCGGTGGAAGGTATACTCGGTCGGTGCCCGGAGGCAGGGGCGGAACAGAGCGGGCTCGCTTCCAAGGAGAAACGTTTCTGCCCACCCCTAACCAGTTCTAAACTGGAGTCCAGGATTGGGGGTCTATTGTTCAGGTCCCGCGGAGCTGGGCTGCAGCCTTCTCACGAAGTGTTGCTACCACCTGCTGGTTCTTTTAGGGAGCACAGGCACCTGGTGAATTTCTCGGGCCCATTTTCTTCTCCCCTCATCACCCCGTCCCATCTTATCCCCCCCCCCCGCCCCCGTACATCTTTCATTTATTCAAAAGCATGCTTATGAAAGCACTAGCTGCGTATGGGCTCATCACAACTGGTACTTAAAGAGCATTTAGAAACCAATGAAAATTGTGAAAGAGACTATGAGCCAACATGCACAAGAAACCAAACAATGGAACTCGTTGAGGCACTGAGAGAGAAACAGGCTTTAATGAATTGGCTGAATGAGTGATAGAAGGGTGAAGACAAATAACGAGTCCCCACTTGGACAGGAGGCTGTTCGCTCATAATATCGAGGGTCAATTAATAAGCCTGCTTAAGTTTAATGACCTGCGTTTGGACCTCATTAAAACTCCAATTACACTGGTGTGTCTATAACTCTTGTTTTTTCCATTTGTTTAGAAGCTCTGTGATAAAGGGCTGTCTTTACTTGTGGTCAGCTCTTTCCAAAGCTTTCAATGACTGGGGGGATAAAAGCCCAATCCTCATATGCGTTATTAGGTAATTCTATCATGTATCTATCATCATATCCATCCAAACATCTGTGTGTTTCCTATTATCCATCTAGCATGCTTTGATGTTCTCACTCTACATATACTCTACACTCCCAGCCTCTCCTAGATGTACTAAAGATATGCCTGGAAACTTGAAAAAGTAGTAAAGTACACAATTAAAGTATGTTTAAACATATTCACAAATCTAAAATGTAGCTATTTCTTTATGAAGCCCAGAAATTCCAGTATACATTTGTAACACACCATGCATTTCTATTACAATGAAATACTTGTTTTCCTTTTTGTTGTATGACATATTACAAATGCCATTTTCTTTTATTCAGACTTAAGTAATTTTTTTTCTTGTTGAGAAAATCTGAGGGCATCTAGTTTTCAAAGAAAACACCACCAAGATGTATAGAAGATTAAATTTATTTTTACAATTAGCCTTATATCCCAATCTACATATTTTAAAACCAAATTTTTCTATTTTTTATTTTATTGTGCATGAGTGTTTTGCCTGCATGTATGCATGCACACTGTGAGCATGATTGGACAGCGTGCTTGGTGCCAGAAGCCAGAAGAGGGCATCAGATTGCCCGGAACTGGAGTTACAGAAGATTGTGAGCCATCATGTGGATACCAGGAATCAAACCTGGGTCTTCTGTAAGAACAGGAAATGCTTTTTAACCACTGAGCCATTTCTCCAGTCCCCAACCAGGTGTTAATAGTGGGTAGAAAGTACAGCATGCATCTGCTAAATTATGCTGTACTCTGCAGCTATGAACAGGCAGAGCAGTGAGTTCCAGTTAAAGCTGAGTATAAATCTTTGCTGTAATTTGCTCAATACCTGGCACATATTAGGTGTTTAGAAGTGTTTTAGAAAGAATAAATAATGAACAGTAATACTTAAATTTTTTAAGCTGAAAGGCAGAAGTTAATAAAGCATATGCCTCATAGATTTCATTATCTCCAGCACACACAAGCTCTAATGTAAATGTGGAGCCTAAAAGGTCTCCTGGGTGGAAAACTCCAAGCGAGATGGCTGGACTCCTTGGCTGGCTCTGCCACTTTTGTGCTGATGTTTTTCTTCCTTCTTAAGCTTTTCCTTCTTCAATATCTATCACTCCCCAAAGATGCGCAATTTTCTGCTTCCTTATTTCCCCTTAGAACAGCAGATGCAAGTTGATGTTATTATAAACAAACAACTTTACAAGTAATTTCAGTGATAAGAAATCTAGCAAAAAGCAATAAAAGAACGTTCTAAGTTTCCAGATCTTTTATTTCAAGACAGAAGTTATAGCTCCCAGTGCCTGGCTCTTCACCGAATCATCTTGAGAGCCTGTGGCCCCAACCTACACTCTTACTTCCCCAAAGCTGAAATTGGTTCCCTCTAAACATTTTGCTAATAAAAGTGCCAAATGCCTGTTTATACAAAGAAAAACTGTTGAGTCATAAACTTTCAAGGCGTTCTCCTAAGGTACTGGTTTGTTTAAAAGCAAAGCTACATGACAACTGATTGGTAAACCAAAGCTGTTGGTCTTCAATGTTTCCCCATCACAGTCTTACACTTCAATATTGCTTTCACTAAACAATAGTGACAAGGCTGATGTGTTTGTGCAAAGACAAAGGGGGATGGCTCTTCTTTAATCATTCGACATTGTCTCAGAGGCAGACTTCAGCTACACATATCAACAGTTAAATCAATTTAGATAGTGGTCCCCTAAAAGTTAGTAAGTGGAGTGAATGGAAATGCTGCCCCCCCCCTCTAAAATAAATCCTAGGTAATTCTTCGTGCCTACAATTAGAGTTGAAAGCACCATAGCAGTTAGTAAGATTTTGGACACACTCCAAATGCAGATCAGGATTGATGAATGCTTCACATCACTTTCTGCTCCTTGTCTTCAGGCCCAGGCAGGTGATAGAATCCTGACTCACATGGAGCAGGTGGTCTGAAGGTCTGCTCTTCCAGGCAGATGCAATCTCTTCTTGCAGCTCTGGTACAGAAAGTGCCCTCTGAGCATGTCCACATTGCATACCAGGAAGGCGGGCCTGCATTTCTGTGGAATCTACAATCAGGATCTAGATAGGTTGGAAATATTTCTTTTGCCTTCTGAGTTCTCCCTCATTATAAATGGTGTTTCTCTCTCACCATTCACCCAGGGTTCTGGGAATCCTCTGAATCATAATTTTAAGCACCAATACCTAAGTGGAGCTATTCACAATGAGTAAACAACAACAGAACTTTCGATCATTAAAAAATCTGGGAGACGAAGGGGACAATGAGCAGAGATAAAAGAGTTAAAAGAGAAGGTCTTATGTTTTTAATGAATTACAAGCAGATATGGGAGGTGTTTTCAAAGATTAGAGCATGAAAAGGATGAGAAAGAAGAAAGGGAAGAGATTAATGAAAATAAACTCTGTCATTCAGCAGGAAAAAAGATTCACAACTCCAAGGAAAAGCAGGCCACTGAAATATAAGATGAACGTGGAAGGCATTCAATGTGTGAGATATTAAAGCAAGGCATGGTGGTACACACCTGTAATCCCAGCATGAGCCAGGAAAATCTCAAATTCAAGACTACAAGTGAAACTATTATAGTGAGACCCTAAATCAAAAAGGCTGTGAAGCATGATTTTTATTAAATAATAGAGACAATAAAGGTCTAACATTAAGAGGGGGAGGAAGGATTTTAGGAGCCAGAGAGGTCAAGGATACAAGAGCATGGCCCACAGAATCAACTAAGCAGGGCTCATAGGGGCTCAATCAGAGTGAAGTAAATATGGCAATCAGACCTGTATGGGTATGAACTAGGTCCTCTGCATACATGTTATGGTTGTGTAGCTTGGTGTTCTTGTGGGACTCCTAACAGTGGGAGTGGAGGTGTCTTCAACTCTTTTGCCTGCTCTTGGGACCCTTTTCTCCTACTGAATTGCTTTGTCCAGCCTTGTGTTTGTGTCTGATCTTATTGTAACTTGTTATGCCCTGTTTGTAATCCTTGGAGGCCTACTCTCTTTTTTTAAGAGAAATGGAGGAGTAGATCTTGGGGAAGCAAGAGGCTGGGAGGAGAAGAGGGAGGGGAAACTGAAATTGGGATATAATATATGAGAGAAGAATTAAAAATAATAATTTCAAAATGAGAAGAAAGATCAAACACAAAAGAAGGAAAAAAGGAAGATCTAAGTAAATCACTTGAATATTTGAAGTGTATTAAGTTCTTACCAAATTATTTATTAAGTACTTGAACTAACTGAAAAAACGACATGAGATTTACCATCTTCTAAATAAATAAAACGGATAAGTTGAATCTAAGATACATTCTAGAGAATACTTTCTAATCTGTACCTTGTAACATCATATACACACGTTTACACTTAACTGTGGCATATTTGTAATTCCTTTTGGGGGAAACTGAAGAATGAGAAAGTAGGGATGATGTCTGCAGAGTCCCTAGCAGAAAAGAGTAATTTGACCCAACCAAGGAGCTCACAAGCCATTTCTAACTCTCTGATGGGTTATCCTAATGCTGAAGCTAAAAAGCTAAATAATTGTCCTCTCTATTTTTCTTTTAATTAAGAGTAGTTATAAGACCTGATTGTGGTCTATCTACGAGAAGAAAATAGAATTCTGCCAGGGGCATTTCTGAGAAAGGTTTTAATCTCTGGCAGAAGGCTCCATTGACTGGACAGGTCCTTTCTCTCTGGCTGTTATGTAATTACTTGGACATCATATTGGTTCCTGTCAATATCACAATGAACTTAGCAGTTGAAAACAACACAAATCTATTATCTCATGTCCCAGGTCAGAAGTCTGAAGGCCTTCTCTCAGCAGTGAAAT